CTTACTGGACATCTACAGGAGGATGTACCTTGGTGTATGTTTTTTGCTGATGATATCCTTCTCGTGGCTAAAACGAGAGATAAAGCCCAGAAAAAACTTGAATTATGGAGGTCTATATTGGAGTCTAAAGATCTTCATTTAATTAGAACTAAAACTGAATACATGGAATGTAATTTTAGTAGTAATAGCTCTAGTGACAGAAGTGTGACTTTGGGTGATCAAATTATTAAAAGGTGTGAACGATTTAGATATCTTGGGTCCGTTGTCCAAAGCGATGGTGATATAGATGGGGATGTTAATAGTAGAATTCAAGTTGGTTGGTTGAAGTGGAGGAATGCTTCGGGCCTTTTGTGTGATAGAAAAGTACCGCTAAGACTGAAAGGAAAATTTTATAAGATGGTGGTGAGACCTGCAATGCTCTATGGCGCTGAATGTTGGCCTTTAAAAGAGAAGCATAATAATAAGTTAAGTGTTGCCGAGATGAGAATGATTAGGTGGATGAGTGGCTTTACACTTAGAGACAAAATGCGGAATGAATATATTCGTGATAGGGTTGGTGTAGCTCCTGTGACAGACAAAATTAGAGAAAGTTGCCTTAGATTGTTTGGTCATATTAAACGTCGACCATTAGATGATCCGATTAGGAGAGTAGATGTTTTAAATTCGACTTGTGTTAAGAAAGGCAGAGGTAGACCTAGGAAAGACTTGGGCTTATTGTATTAAAAATGATCTTAATTTACTAGAACTAAATGAAAATATGACACTAAATAGGACGCAATGGAGAAAAAGGATTCATGTAGCCGACCCCACGTAGTGGGATTAAGGCTTTGTTGTTGTTGTATTGACCTGGGCCTTTTTCATTTGTCAAATTCTTTATTCTGTTCAATGCTGTTTGCATTAAATCTTGAGGGTGCTTGACCTTGGTGGAAATATGCTCAGGTACACAAATTCCTAAGGCTGAATGTGTGATCATCATTCTTATCATCAACATAGCCAAATTAGCTTTGGCTCTTTGAATCCTTATCATTCTATTCATTTTATTTTTACTTTTTGTAGCATCATCTGTTAAGTTGAACGTTATGTTCAATTTCACTCGGAAAGCTTAGATTACATTTGAATAATAACTGCTGGTGAATTACTGACTTTGTAAAGCTTTAGTTATGAATAAATAGTTTATGCGCGGAACTTTTTGAGGCTTTTTTGTATGGTGATTTGGTTTACAAGTTCTTCTAATTTTGGACAATATTTCATGTTGACAGGAGCAGCATCAGGAGAATGGTCCTATAACTATCGATGATGTTTTGGGGGATGCAGTATGTTATGATGAGCAAGAGTTTTTGCGCCAAAAATGCTACTCTCTATTTGAATTGTCTCCCACCGTATGCTTTCAGGCTACTCTGTCTTTTTACTGCATTCTTTTTGAATGTCAACATTTATCGGTTCGAGGAAATTTTTTTTTTTCTGATTTACTGATTTACTTTTTATGACGTACTCTTTTTATGACGTACTGATCATCTTCAAATTACTTCTTTAAAATGAAGATCTATTAACTGAGTAAAATGTTTTTAAAGGGAGAAATTACACGTCTGTGATATGAATTAAAAATTTGCAATGCAATTTAATGTAAAATGAGCTAGCGCTTTAGATTTTTCTTTTCTAAGCAGAAAATCCTCTTGTTTAGTTTGTATTCTTGTTAAGGATACTTATTATTTTGGGGCATTTATATACATACTGCACAATTCCTTTTTATTTATATATCCAACACTTAAAATTTTCTTTTTTACATTTATACCATCCAAATCTGTTACATTACGTAGAAAGACCACAATTTTAACTTTTAAAATGTGAAATATTGTTTTCGTACATAGTTAAAGTGGTATATAGATATATATATACACACAGAGAGAGAGAGAGAGAGAGAGAGGTGCGTGTGCGTGTGTTAAAATTGAAGTTTAGGTGTTAGATATTTAATTATATTGGAAGCATTTGATGTGTGTAAATTTTCCTATTATATTTTACTTGGAAATATTTTGAATTCGGAATTTAAGTTTTTTTTTTTTTCAGGGTAAGGGAACTTCACAATTTCCAGGATCTCATCCTGTATCTTTGAATAGGTATACTTATTTTTTCTCTCTCTTTTTTTTTACTTATAATGTTTAGCTGTCTTAATAACGTCTGCTTGGTTTGAACTGTGCTGTTTTTCTGGAGCGATTGGAGCCCTCATTTGGCGCAATTATGGTTAAAATCTAGTTGTATTAATTAAGGAGTGCTCATGATCGTTCAAATTTGATTTAGAATTAGCTTTAGGTGCTATGGCCTCCCAACTCTGAAAGATGACAATGGTGCCGGCAGTGTCAAGAACACAATCCAATGTATCCAATATTGATTACTTGATAATTTGCATGAGATTGATGATATGCCTATTGTGGTCATTGATATTTTTTACCACATTTGTTTTTTAATTAAATCTCAATATTGTCCCCAGATTATTCGTATGTGGCTAATTTATTCCCAGAGTTCTGCAGGGCTCCAATTTAATATCCTAATTCTAGAAAAATTATCCAAAATGGTCCTTCGTGTGGAAATAATGGCACAAAAATGATCATTCGAATAGTTGATGGACTATTTTTGGATTTAGCTCGTTATTTTGGGATAACTGAACTCTCTTTACTTCCTCTTTTGGGGGTGTGTTTTTTGTTTTTTATATATTTTATTGCTGTTGACTGTAGTTTGGTGTAGCGGTACAGCGATTTCAGTTTGTATATATATATATATATATATATATAGAAGGGAAACGTTTTGAGAGCCATGTGACATAAGTGATCTTTGTTTTGTCGCCATAAAAATTAGAGGAGAAGACCCACGCTTGCCCAAATTTAATTTTCATCGTTTTTATTTTTTTATTTTTTTCTCTATTAGAAGAGACCAGTAAGCTTCTTATCAAGATATTTTATTGAAATGTCCAACCAAAATTTTAAATTTTATTGTTTATTTTTGATTCAGTAATTGTAATTTTAAAAATGTTAAAATGGTTTTCCAGGAAAGGAAATCTTTTTGCTTGTATTAGTTTGTTATTTTGATTTCAAGCAAGCAAATGCAATGAAGATAATGGAAAATTAGAATGTTCAGAATGGTAATGATAAGCATTGAAACCATGGAGTGAAATGATTTTATTAGAGAGAGTCTGTCGGCATCAACGAATAATGAGAAAGTTATAAAACATAGATTTAAGTTGTTTCTGCAGATATGATAGAGAGCAAAAGAATGCACCAAAGAGGCTAATAGAGTGAATTAAGTGAAAGAATTGCTTGGATGTGTTGGAACAATGGGTAATATAGAACATAATTACAAGTTCGGTAAGCTAGGATTAACCCTCATGTAAGACCTAATATAAATGGATATAATAAGTCCCGTATAACTGTATTATTTACCTCATTTTAACTACTTGTAAATCTTGAACATTTTTATTGGTACTAATGTCAATGCCTACAACAAGTCACTGTTATTGATGTTTTATAAAAAAAATTGATTCTCTATGTATTTTTTTTCTCATAATATTTTATTGGCTATTTATCATTTTAACAAATCTTTTTTTAACTTGATATTTATATCCTTATTTACATTTTGATTATTTTGTATAATTTTCTTAAGTATTTTAGATATGATAAGTTGTTATCATTTGATCTTTCATTACTATTTTACGTCCATGATAGTGATGATGGCCGACCCCACTTAGTGGGATAAAGCCTTGCTGATGTTATTGTTGTATCCATCACAATGTTGGTTGGAGATTATGATTGGTTCTTAGTAACTTTAGTCTGGGAAGGGAATATTATGGTGTAATGGAAGAATAAAGATAGCAAAGATAAAGGAAAGCTTAAGAAGTGGAGATTAATAAATGCCTTAAAATGGAGAGATGCAAGTTTACAGAGGGGGGGAAGAACCTGTTGGTTTTGGGAAATATGAGGAAACTTAGCCCTAGGGTATATGCCACAGAAAGGCCTTTTTTTATTGCTTATACAAACATCTTTAATTACAATTTATGCTTAATTCTTTCAATAATTGGCTTTATTTTCGTTGACTATCTAACCCTAGGCCTTTTAACAATATGATGATTTGAACATGTGACAGAAATTTGATCGTCTTACCCTTGCCAAAAATCAGAATGGCTGATGATAACAGTGGATTAAACAGTACACCTAAAATGTTGATATTATACTAACACAAACAAATAATTTAATCTAAATGTTTTTTATTCCTTTAATTTTTATAGGCTATAAAGAATTTTACTTTGCAGAGTTAAACTGTTAATGAATGGAGTTGAAGTTTCTTGATTGTGCTATTGAGCTAGATAAATCCATCTCATGGGGAATTTTCACTAGAAGAAAACAGATTTTGGTATCAATGTTGAGGTATAGGAGATGAATGAGAAATCCATCCCTAAGATGTGAAATGGTGAACCATTGAGAAGTTGATGAAATTGGAGTAGTATCATCAACAATGTCAACTAAAGGATCTCTTCAGAGGTCCTCGAAAACATTATAGTAACTTAAGAAAAATAACATCTCTAGAAGTTTGAAGCTCTTTATGCATAAGGGTAATCTAGTCTAATCCAATTGAAGCAACTGTTGACTAAAGCCGGTCTTTTTTTTTTAAATTTAAATTAGGCTAGGTTGGGCCAATTTAATTTTGGTAAAATTTAAGTGGATTGTCTTGGGTTTGATCAGTTTGATGTTGCTGTACTTAATTACTTTGGCTTGGGTTTGATTGGATCAATATATGGTTTGCAACATGCTAAATGTATCATTAATATTTTCTTAATAAAAGTTAGTGCGTAGATTTTGTAAGTGAGAAGGAAATGTTGAAAAGATTTTTTGTAATATATATTCTTGGACTATAGGGAAGGGACTGCTAGTGCTAGTTAGGATTTGAATGAGTTATTCGTTAGTTATAAGCTTGAATTGATTGTTTGGTTTATAAGGGTCAAGATTTGGTTAGTTTTTAATGTGAATGGGCGAGGAGTGGATTGGGATTGCTATGAAGCGGCAAGCAATTTTTAATTTGAAAAGTTGTTTGATGGGGATTTTTGGTTTATAGTTGAGGAGTTTGGGGAACTTGGTGGATGAATTACAGTGGAGTTGTTAAGGAAGCTTGGAAAAGTATGTAGGTTTATGACTCAATGATGGTGATATCGAGATTGCGATCGATATGGAGGGATAGGGAGTGAGACCACCATGTATGCTAACTTGAAGATCACTTGTACTTGTCACATTAAATAATAGGGCATTTACATACATAACACTCAATTTCTATGAATTTACATGTCTAACTCCTAAACTTTGCTTTTTATGTTTATACCACCCAAATCTTTCATAGCTCATATAAAATACCAACATTTTAACTTTTAGGGGGTGAAATACATTTTTCATGCATAAGAAAGGTATTATGTATGTAAAAATTGAAGTTTAGGCGTTAGATGTGTAAATACGTTGACATTGAGTGGTATATATGGAAATCTTCCTAAGTAATTTTCAGGAAAATTGTTATAAAGGGATTTAAGCTCCTTTGCCAAGGTATACTAATTAATGGTTGACATAATCTTGAAACATTATATAATTACCAACTAATTCAGCATAAACAAAGATCAAATGTTGATAGTTAAGGGGGGGATGGATGGATTAAATAATACTAAGTTGATATGAATGACCGAAATGTCTCATGCTGCATCATAATCGCAGCACATGGAGGACGACATTTTTTTTGCTGGCCATAAGCTCTTGGTCTTCTTGAAATTTTATTCACTCTCTCAATTACTTGAAGCTTTTTACTAGAGAAAAAGGATAGATATAAAGAAAGAAGATGTATAAATTACTGCGTCATGAATCCCATAAACCAGCAACTTGGGGAGAAAGAATAGATAATGAGAAGTTTTGAGCAAGGAAGAAATTTCATTTTCTTATTTTTTTATGTATAAGCCATCATGAATTACAGCGTCAAGCTGAAATTTGTTAGTTGCCATCATTCTGTGTAGCATTTAAAGGAGTAAAAATGATAAAATGACAATCATTCCTCGATTTTACAATTGATGATTTTTGCAATTGAAAATAACTGACAAATGACAAATATTTCGTATGAGTCGTGATACAAGCTACAAGCTATGATGTTAAGATCCTTTTCATTATAAAAGCCATAAAAAAATGATTAAATTGGACTAAACTGAAACAATGGGTTAAGCTGATGGCTTAAGAATTATGTGAAGTAGATGTTTTGTTGTGAATGGCGCTTATTCATCAGGATATTCTGCTCCAATTTTATAGTATCCTCTATGATTTGGTAACTTCTAAGATTTATAAGTGAGAATGATTTTTAGAAAACAAGGATGATTTTGTTTTACATTCCAAATACAAATTCTTGTCTTTGAGCCCTTTATCCTATCATCATCATAACTTTTAATGTCACAGAATATTAAAATGCTAATTTAATGTTCCTAGCTCTGATTTGAATGATGAATGTTGTTGGCATAACCAGTCAAATATTTACATAAACATGTTTGATTAAACTTACCTTGTGTATGCAGACTTGGATTTTTGTTGTGCTTTGAAACAACATTACCTTGCGCATGCAGAACTGGAAGTTTTGGTGTGCTTTGAAACAACTTAAAACTATGAATGGCTACACAGGCGTCCCTTAGTAGGTTGGAGAGTAAAGGACTACACAGGCGTCCCTTAGTAGGTTGGGGAGCAAAGGAAGTTCCATTAGCAATGTTCCATAGTATTTGTTTGAAGGCTAGTGGCGATAATGATAATAAGGTGGTTTGCAGAGGCGCCCCATAAGCAATGCTTTTGTATTCATCGTTTGAAGGATAGTGAGGATGATGATATTAAGCCGAGTTACTGAAGTGAATGAATAATGTTTGTTAGATGAAGAATGTCTGAACTATGGTGAAAAAATAAACAGGAATATATCATAATCACTACATTTTCTTAGAAAGAACTTGAAGGTTTATGCCATTGTATTTTCCAAATTTATACTATGCCATTTTTTTCCCTTATCTGTTGTCTTATTGGAACCAATACAGAGATAATTTGCAACTTCTAAGGCAGCGCTACTATTATGCTACTTGGAAAGCTGATGGCACCAGATATATGATGCTTATTGCCTTACATGGCTGCTACTTGATTGATCGAAATTTCTGCTTTCGGAGGGTCCAACTGCGTTTTCCATTAAAGGTTGAGATTGAGGTAGGTATGTACCTTATCTGAATCATAGAAAAGCTGTTATTTGTTCCAACTCAATGCTCTACAATTAGTAATCTCAAACTAGCAATTTTACTATTTTTATTGCAAGGGTTGTCTATTCCATCATTACACATTAATTGACGGGGAAATGATCATTGATGCTGTACCTGATATTGGACTGAAGAGGAGATATCTGGCCTATGATTTAATAGCACTTAATAACCAGTCCGTTATTAAGGTGATTCACTATTCCAAAATGTTATTTTTGGTTACTTCAAAATGCTCCAGGCACATTTTGCCGCACTTCTAAGATGGCTTTGAAGCCAAACTCTGGACATATAGATCCCATTGCGTCTGCTCATCTGTACTCATCTTTGTGCATTATTGCCTCTGTTTGTTGTACTTGTCAAATGGATGAACTATTGATTGTAATTATTGCTTGTATTTATAGAAGGTGCATATCTTTTTTATTGGTATATTTCTGTAAATAAGCCATACGGACCAATGTTTAAAATTGTGCAATTGGGTATTGAGATGTTATTTGTTAATGAGACGAGGTGTAAGCCTCAAGGCATTTTGAGTGTAAGCCTCGAATTTTAAAAAATGTGTAAATTAATAAATATTAGATAAACTAACTATAGAGTGTGAATAAGAAATAATATATTAATACTCTAATTTATTAACATGTTAAAGTGATATAACAATGTTCTAACAAAAAAATAATTAATTGCATTAAATTAGAAGTAATATGTTAATACTCTAACATCAAATTATGAAATAAGATGAGTTATATAATTATTAAATTATTAAAGTAAACTAAATATTAAGAAAAAAAATACTAAAACATCAAAAAATAACAATCAAAATAAGTTCAACATTATACTTTCCTACTAACTCATAATACCCCCATTTAAACGAGAATATAAAAATTCAACAATACTTCAATTTTTAATTTTAAAGTTCGTATTATTCTCGTTGCCCAATTGATTTTTATTAAAATTATTTACATAATAAGTTATTTATTTTGCGCCTTATTTGTCATGTTATGTATATTCTCTCATTCGTTATTATTTTTAATCCCAATTAGTTTCTATTTTTTAATAAATAATTATCAATAAAAATATTAATTAAAATAATAACTATGTTGCTAATTAGAATTTCATTTACATACATTTTTTTTTATACAATTTCTTTTCGTTTCATGTTATTTAGTGTTTTGAGTTGTGAATATTAATAGTTGAAATATATTAATATTATTTTTAATTTTACTTAAAATAATTATGGTTAACCTAAAAAATTTGAGACCTGTTTTGAGGCGGGGCGTGCCTTGAGGTGTGCCTCAGCTTGGGCGAGGTGTACCTCTTATCTTGGGACAATGTGGCCTAAGCCTCATTTTGAGTTTTTTTTTTTTAACACATTGAGGTGAGCTTCAATGTAGGCCGCATATTGTACAATTTTAAACAAGGATACCAACAACTTGTTTGTTTGTGTGATTATACATTCTTGAACTTGTGTATATTAACATAGTCATGCATTTATAGAACACATTGTGACATTAACATACATACATGACGTGCCAAAACTTACCGCAAGTGCACATGTTAAGTGATATGCGGTTTAAGAGTCCGCTCATCGATCCCACGAGGAAAGATTTAACAATTATTCTAACAAAAAAATATCTAGTTTACTTTTCTTGTGAACCTAGATTGGCGTGATCTCAAAACAGGTTTGAATCCTAAAATCCTAACAAACAATCAGAGAGCAGATGGTAGAAAAAACAAAAAACGGAGAAAATCTTATGTGTTCTTCAATAGTGAGGAGGCTTGTGCCTCTGTGATTCAGAAATTGTGGTAGATCGTAGTGTTCCTAAATATTTTTCCACGTCACAGTTGTCAACCGGGTATATAAAATTTTATGCATATGTCTAGGTCAAAAGAAGCTAGAATCCATGAAGTTGAGGCTTCTTCAATCACCATGACATTCCGCAAAAATATTCCGATCCCAAGAAAAAGTTTTAGAATCATACTAGAGTTCTTCAAGAGTGGTGAGACTCGTGCCTCTGTGATTTAGGAATCGTGACGGATCGTGGTGTTTCCAAATGTTTTCTTACCTGATAGTTGTCAACTGGGGATATAAGTTCCTATACCTATGTTTAGGTCAAAAGAAGACTAAAATCCATGAAGTTGATGTTGTCTCAATCCTCATGACATTCCCCCGGAAATATTTCGATCTCCAATAAAGGTTGCAAAGTCATACTAGAATATGTTTATCTTCTCATAATTTTGTGGTTAACTCTTTCGTTTCCGCTGCGCAACCGTTAGAGGTCATAGCTTCACGAAAGATTTTGATATCCTAGTTGGCCAAATTAGGAGTAAATTAAACTCGGAGGTTAACCAATAACATAGGCCATGATAGCACAGAAAATTTTGTAGGAAAAAAATCTCAGAAAACCGTGATAAAATCACTACCTTTATATCACGAAGGCACGAAAAAAAGTTTAGCCACGCATCATCGGCAAAACCACAGACTCGAAATCCATACAGATCTTCATTGTGAAGTACAACAGAAAGTAAAACTTACAATCAGGACTTGTCATTTGCATAAGAGCAACACCTCTTCCTGTCATACAAACTCTCTCAAAACTCTCAAGTATGCAAGGTAAAACTCATTCCAATGGTTTCAATCCAAGGAAGGAAGAAAGCCTAAGGGAAACACTCAAAATTTCTCATAATCTCCGTCGCCAACCATCCTAGAACTTTGTTTTCTTTAAGGAAGCCCTAAGAATCGTTTTTATATCTGGATCTCCGTCGCCAGCCATCCTAGAACTTCATTTTTTTGTTGGTTTTCTTGTTCCAAATTGCTCATATTTAACACCTATAACGTGTACACCATCAACAAAAGTTTTTCTCAAGTGTAAATCAGTGATAAATAAATAAAAATAATTGGTAAAATGCAAGTGAAATCACGTAAAATTGGTTTGTTTTAATTCACTCACAAACACCTTTTTATTGTATTTACAATTGATTGCATTCTATTTGCAAAATCTAGCCTGTGAGTCTATTTTCTACATAATTCATAGTTATTGCAAAATTAGTTTTGTAGAAAAAGGAAGTGGCTATGAAAGCTTGGATTGTTCATTCTTTAATATTTTTTATACACAAAACTACATAGAGAAAAAAATGAAATAAATAATGATAATAACAAACACAAAAAATAGACCTAATATTCTTATTGTTTGTTCTTTTTATAGATTTTTGATTGATGACAAAGAAGTAATCCATTGGCTTTTATTTCTTTTTTTTCTTATAAAAATCATTGGAGAGGTATTTTATAGGCAATGAATATGTAACGTCTAATTTTCTCTCTCTAATGCTTTTGCTTGGCCTTTTTAATTTGACTGCCTTTCAATAATCCCCTTCAAATTGGATGGTAGACTTTCTATCGAATATTCTGGAATTTGGGGTTACCAAGCCCTTTTGTGAATATATCAGCAAATTGTTTTCCTGTTGAGACACCTTGAGTTTAAATTAATTTATTTTTTATGTTTTCTTTTGTAAAATATCAATATGCTTTAATATGTTTGGTACGATCATATTATTTAGGATTATTAGCAATGCTGCTTAAAAATTTATTGTCATATTATATCTTCATAGGCTCTTCCCGTCCAATTTTTAACAATTTTAAATGATTTTAATCCATGGAAGTTCCCAGATCCATTGGACAGTCGCTTTGAGTTTGGAGAGCAAAACAACATTTTTTTTAAATTTGTTTATGTTATTAGCTTTCTTCCCAAAACTTTGTAGAATTTTGAATTGGATCTTCTATCAAATGGTTACCCATTGTAGTGTTAGTATAACCTTCCATGTTGTTGAGTGTTATATTTTTTTAGAGAATTTCCTAGACTTGACTAAAGGCACTCATTGATTTTATAAACAACTTGAAAGTTAGATTCTTTGTGTTTCTGCATAACTTACGAAACTTTGCAAAGGAAATTTCAAGGCGTATATGTGATAGATTAATTTCTAAACTAATCCTTAGTTTGAGTTTTATATGATTTATGATTAATCATCTTTGTTTCCTTTAATAGGTCCATAATATATATATATATAT